TTTCTTTCTTTGTTTTTTTTTTTTTTTTTGAGACAGAATCTCACTTTATCCCCCTGGGTAGAGTGCTGTGGTGTCACAGCTCACAGCAACCTCCAACTCCTGGGCTTAGGCAATTCTCTTGCCTCAGCCTCCCAAGTAGCTGGGACTACAGGCGCCTGCCACAATGCCTCCCGGCTATTTTTTTTTTGTTGCAGTTTGGCCGGGGCTGGGTTTGAACCGGTCACCTTTGGTGTATGGGGCTGGCGCCCTGCCCACCGAGCCACAGGCGCCACCCCGTTGAATATTTCTTGTAAGGAGGCATGAATTCTTTGTCTCTATCTCTCTTCTTTTTAAAGTCTGGGAATGTCTTTTTTTAAACCTTCAATTTTTAAAGCATGGTTTTACTAGATATGGAAATTTTGCTTCATAGTAATTTTTTCTTTCACTGCTTTGAATATGTCATCCCTTCACTGTTCCTGATGGGAAGTCAGGTGTTAATTTTATTGTGATTCTCTTCTACATGGGTCTTTTTCTCTCTTGCTCCTTTTAAAATTATCTATCACTACCTTTTCTTTTTGTTTGTTTTGAGACAAAGTCTCATTCTGTTGCCCCACCCAGGCCATAGTGCTGTGGTGTCATAGCTCATTGTAACCTTAAACTCCTAGACTCAAATGATCCTCCTGTCTCAGCCTCCCAAGTAGCTAAGAGTAAAGGTGCATGCTACCATGCCCAGCTATTTTTTTCCATTTTTTGTAGAGATGGAGGTTCTAACTCTTGCTCGGGCTGGTCTGGAACTCCTGAGCTCTAGTGATCCTCCTGCCTCCGCCTCCCAGAATGCTAGGATTACAGGTGGGAGCCACTGTGCCTCGCCTATAATTAGCTTTTACAATTTGACTATGAAGTGTCTATGAGTTGCTCTCTTTGTGTTTGTCTTACTTGGAGTTAATTGAACTTCTTGGCTTTGATTAATGTTTTTCATCACGTTTGGAAAGTGTTTAGCTATTATTTCTTTGAATATTTATTATTCCTCTTTCCTTTTTCTTCAGTCTCCAATTACACATACTTTGGTATACTCGAAGGTGTTCCATAGGTCTCCAAGGCTCTGTCCATTTTTCTTCAGTCATTTTTCTCTCTTTTGCATAATTTATGTTGATCCATTTTCAAATTCACTAATACTATCTTTTGACAGCTTGAACTTGTTCTTTCTTTCCTTTTTTTTTTTTTTTTTGGTAGAGACAGAGTTTCACTTTATCGCCCTCAGTAGAGTGCCATGGCATCATATAGCTCACAGCAGCCTCCAACTCCTGGGCTTAGGTGATTCTCTTGCCTCAGCCTCCCGACTAGCTGGGACCACAGGCGCCCACCACAACGCCTGGCTATTTTTTGTTGCAGTTTGGCTGGGCTGGGTTTGAACCTGCCACCCTTAGTATATGGGGCTAGCACCCTACCCACTGAGCCACAGGTGCCACCCTGAACTTGTTCTTGAATACCTCTAAAGAAGTATTTTTTTTTTCTGAGACAGAGTCTCCCTTTGATAGAGTGCCATGGCATTATAGCTCATAGCAACCTCAAACTCTTGGGCTCAAGCAATTCTCTTGCCTTAGCATCCTGATGAGCTGGAACTACAGGCACCTGCCACAATGCCTGGCTATTTTTTAGAGACTAGGTCTGGCTCTGGCTCAGGCTGGTCTCTAACCCATGAGCTCAGGCAATCTGCCAACCTCAGCCTCTCAGAGTATTAGGTTTACAGGTGCGAGCCACTGCACCTGGTCATATCTAACTTTTAACACAAAAATTAGAAGGCATACTAAAGAACAGAAAACAGTTTGAAGAGACAGAGCACCAAAACCAGACTCAGAAATGGCAGAAATGTTGGAATCGTCAGACCGGAAATTTAAAATAACAATGATTAAAATACTAAAGGTTCTTCAGTTTTTATTGAAGGATATTAAAAAAATAAAATAAAATAAAATAAAATACTAAGGGCTCTATTAGAAAAAGTAGACAATATGCAAGAACATGGCCAAAATTAGCTGCAAAGGAGGATGGGAAATAAAATTTCTAGCTGGGGAGCAGACCATTGGTTGCCCAGTGGTCTGCACAGGGCTCTTTATTTCTAAAAGGATACTGGGTGACACTCAGCAGTCTCTTTCACAGTATCTTTGATCACTTTTGGAAAATTCTCAGTTATTGTCCATTAAAATACTGCATATTCTCTATCGTCTTTATTTTTTTCTTCTAGAAATCCAGAATTTCTTCTAGAAATATACATGTAACCATAATCTATCTTATTGTTTCTTTGTGCTGCATTCTGGGCAATTTTCTTTCCTTTTTTTTTGAGACAGAGCCTCAAGCTATCCCCCTGGGGAGAGTGCTGTGGCATCACAGCTCACAACAACCTCCAACTCCTGGGCTCGAGCGAGTCTCCTGCCTCAGCCTCCCAAGTAGCTGGGACCACAGGCACCCACCACAACGCCTGGCTATTTTTTGGTTGCAGCTGTCATTGTTGTTTG